GATAGATAGATAGATAGATAGATAGATAGATAGATAGATAGATAGATGGATGGGTTCTTTATCTATCTTCTCTGTGGGTTGGATAAACTGAGCTGCTTGTGTCTGCAGCAAGTGGAGGTGGACGGTCAGCAGTGCATGCTGGAGATCCTGGACACAGCAGGAACAGTAAGCCTCACTCTGCTCCCATCTACGTTGCCCGCCGCGTGTGTGTCCCCATGACAACCCGCGTGTGTGTGTGTGTGTGTGTGTGTGTAGGAGCAGTTCACCGCCATGAGAGACCTGTACATGAAGAACGGCCAGGGCTTCGCTCTGGTTTACTCCATCACAGCTCAGTCCACCTTCAACGATCTGCAGGACCTCAGAGAGCAGATCCTCAGAGTGAAAGACACAGAAGACGTACGCCTCAGCTCATTTTCACTATCTTAAATGTTTGTTTTTGTCCTTTAAAAAAGGATCCATCTTAGGCTCCCCATTTGTGTTTTTATCTTTAGTTTAGCTGCCAGCCACTCAGACATTTAGGCTTTAAAGGAAGACCAGACCCTAACCGGCTTTAGATGGAGACAAACATCAGAGTGGAGTTAATAAGATTCCATCTGCATGATAACCATCACAGATGATAAACGTGTTACTAATTCCTCCAATCGTCTGAAAGCAGATACTTCTTTTGAAGACGCTTCCTTTGAGGAGCCCCGAGGGAAAGCTGTAGTTTTGCTGCCCCTTGCTGGACTTAAGGAGTCCTTCCCATAAAGGCTTCAAGCTAATATGAAACATAAACTTTTAAGAATGATACCTAATAGTTATTGTAATAGTAGACCATTAAATCAGTTATATCAGTTTGAAAAATGTTCATGCATACATTTGAAGATAAGATCAAATTCAAACAAAAAAACAAACGAATACTGACTATAGTAATGTAGATTTAGTTAATGTTAGCGTTTGGTTAATTTTTCTGTGGATGGATTAAATGGAACTCTGATCTGATGCTGGGATCCTGTAGATATGTGGACGCAGCCTCATGGTTCTGTGTGCTTTCAGGTTCCCATGATCCTGGTTGGAAACAAGTGCGACCTGGAGGTGGAGCGCGTGGTGGCCAAGGAGTCCGGCATCGGCCTCGCTCGCCAGTGGAACTCCTGCGCCTTTCTGGAGACTTCCGCCAAGAGCAAGATAAACGTGAATGAGGTGAGAGCCCCCCCGAACCACCACTCCTCCTCACGCTCCTCCTTTTCTGCCCCGGTGGGGAAATGTCTCGGATGGGGATCCTGTATTCTTGAGGTTTGGGACTTTTTTCCCCATTTATTTTTCGCCTCTTTTACTGAAACCACATTCTGGAGAAACCTGGGAGACTCTTCTGCTGAGTGAAGTCAAGAGGTCATGCATCAAGAGAGACAGTAGCCAGTCAACACGCTCACTTTTTTGCATTTAATCTGTAAAAATCACCTAAAGCGGGGGTCTTCAACATGGGGTCCGCGACCCATAGGGGGTCCTGGAGGTACTGATGGGGGTCGTGAAAGTTTTGGTTAATAAGACTTTTTTTTTTTAAAAACCCCTCCCCCCTGCAATTTTTTCCACTGATGTAAATGTCTATAAATCCACATGAACATGATTTCAACAGACTATAGTAAACAGATAAATGGAGGCAGAAGATGTCTCACATTCAGCCACTCACAAAAGCTCTTTCAAGCTGGGCCCCGTTTCATTCACAACACCTGTCCCACCAACCAGGAACCAGAACCAGATGTTTACAGTAAAAACAGGACAATATCAACCTGTGGATTATCTGAGGATCTTAGTACTGAATGCCCAATAACAAGCTACATTTACTCACTATAGGACCAGTTTGATAGAACACAATTTCATACAGTATATAGAATTAGGGGGTCCCTGCTCCATCAGTTTGGGGGTCCTTGGCCTGGAAAACCTTGAAGACCCCTGCTCTAAAGACAGAAAACACTCAGTTAGCTTCCACATCTCTTATCTTTTGGATGTCTGTGTTTTTGTGTGTGCAGATCTTCTACGACCTCGTCCGACAGATCAACCGGAAGAGTCCCGTTCCAGGAAAACCTCGCAGAAAGTCCACCTGTCAGCTTCTCTAATGACAGGTGAGTGGGCCGGCGGGGGGGGGGGGGGCACAGACCCGTGTCTGGTTTTCTTCACTCACTCTGCTTCTCTGTTTCCTCAGTTTTCACTTGACCGACAACCTACAAACCAACCAATCACAGGACATCTTCCAGCTGACCACGCCCCCTTTAACATGTCATCATCAACATCAGCCACCTCTCTCTCCACTACCATGACGACCACTTCTCCCCCCCCCCCTCACCATGCCGTCTAATGGAGACTGTTGCCTTGGAAACATAAAAACCAAACATCAAAAGACTGCGGTGATGATGATGATGATGATGATGGTGATGATGGTGACTCTGCTTTTGCAGGAAGGCGGGGCTATCCCAACAACTGCCCGAGTTTAAAACTGCAGTTCCCATCATGCTCTCTGCTGGGCCATTCTGCACTGAGGAGTGCCCTCTTGCTTTTTGATTTTTACATGTTCTTTTCTTTCTTTCCTTTTCCTTTGACTTATTTTCCAGCTGTCCTAAGCCAGTCGCATGCAATATGACCGTCGGCCATGTTGGCGCCACAGCGGGGGGGCGACGGCTCGGCTAACGCGGTGGTCTGTGTGCTTGTGTGGCTGTGGTTTGAACCTGTGGATCCTTACAGTGATTATTGTTATAGTGGTTATTATTATAATTCTGTGTGAAAAGATCTAAAGTTAGTTAATGTTTTTGATTTCAGTTTTGGGGTGGGGAAAGGGGGGGTGCAGCAGGTCCTGACGTTTGCTCACTGTGTTGCTCGCAATTAGCTAATTTAGGTTAGCTAATTGACGTTAAATTAGATACATTTTCACCTTTAGCTTATTAGCAAAGCACCAGCTACAAAACATGTTAAGAAGCATTGTTAGAAAATGCTGTTTGGTTGGCCTTAACAACATTTACAGACAAACAGATGGTAGTTATTTAGTTGGGGTCAAGCTCCTTCTTTAAAAATAAAAATAAAAATAAACCCCGGCTGTGCTCAAGCAATGCTTGTGTGGTCTTTGTTAGCATTTTTTTTTAGAAGCAATGGGAATTTATAGCTTATTAGCAAATATTTGACATATCTCTGAAGACCACTAAATTCCCAGACTACTAGCTTATTACGAGTAGCTAACAAAAGGGGAATGCTATCTGCACTCACACAGGTTAGAAAAAATTGTTTTAGGTAAAATAAATGTCCAAAAAATACATGTGAAACATTGTTGACAACACTAATGTATTAGCATTAAAACCAAATTCCTCAAAGAGCTAGCGTTAGCCGTGTTGTGAGAAAAGGCCGACTGTAAATCATCTGTTTTCCTTCTAAAAAAAAAACATTCTGAAAGCTGTTGTTAACTTGATCCACCTCACTATTTTGTAGCTGGCAAAAAAGGAAACTTGTCCTGACTTGTGAATCATTTAAAACCAAATCCTGCTAACGGCAGGTGAGCTGCACGGTGAGCGGGCTGCAGACCTGCTGCACAGGGCGGACATGTTGCCTTCAGACAGCAGACTCACACTGGTCCAGTACTTTAACTCGTTGTGTGTTTGTGAGTTTGTTTGAGTGGAACTGAGCTGCGTAGGGACAGTGAACGGACCGGCCCAGTTTACGGAGATGGACCTGTGGGCTTGTATTATATTTACCGAGGAAGAGCTGCATCACTCACCACATTAGCACCTGGATTTTTAACAAACCTGATTAACCCTTCAGAGAGTGAAAGACTGAATAATTGGCCTTTTTTTAAGTCAACCGTCCCTTTTACTGATGGACATGCATCAAATCATCGTGGTGTGGAGGACCTAACATGCCACGCTGTAGCATAGAAATCTGCCCACACCTTTAGGGTTTTGATGGCTATGATCTCATCAGTGAAATAAGTTGAAGTCAAATTTCGGTGTTGATGTTTTAAGAAGAGCACAGCTGGCTCAGACCAGTCGGAGGGGTGAAGAGCAGCCGCAGGAAGCCTTTGAGTATCCGTGTTCTGAGTGAAATGTGATGTGAATGCTCGGCTCCTAGAAAGCGTACGGTGGACCAGAGACCTCTGTGAGTCCTGCTGCTGCACAGTGTTGTACCGTCAGGAGTCCTGCGGTACTGCGGTCAGTATTCTGGTTCTCCTCCAGTACCTTCAGTCATGTAGCATGTAGATGTTGTCGTCAGTACTCAGTCTGACCTCCAGGGGGCGCTGCAGCAGTGTGCATGCTGAGCAGAAGCTTCCAGGTGAAAGGTCTGTCTGCAGCTGTGGGGGGGGGGGGGGGGCACCCATTATGTTGGAATATACTATAAAAAAACAAAAGAACCAGACTACTGAAAATGTCAGGTATTTCCTCTTTGAGTGCTGCATTCCAGCATTGGTCGTAAAAATATAAGAAAAACGATGGATAATTCAAGTCTTGACTTAATAGAATAAAAATCTTATGTGGAAAAAAATGGGACCTTGTTAAAATTCCCAAAATCTTAAAAAAAAAAAAAAAATTAGATAAATTCATATCTTTTTTAAATATGAAGATTGAATAAATCAATCTGAATAAGTTCGTATTTTACATATTTTCACATTTTAGACTAATATTTTAATATCATAATTCTGATTGTGTATCTTAAAATGATGCAGAAGTGTATAGAACTGATGGAAAATGTAAACATTTTCTTACTCTCCTGTGTCACAAACGGGCTTCCATAGAGGGAGAGCAGAAACCCCTATTTCGCTTCAACATTTACTCACGGCTGTAACTGGCTTGAAACAAATGTGTAATTGATGCTTTATTAGTGCTTTGTACTTGTATTTTCTAGCTTTCTAAAAAATGCTTCACAGTATTGATTTATAATTGGCAAACAAAACATTTAATTATAATGTGATTCGAACTTACGGTGGATTCTACCCCTGGAAAGCCTTTCCAAAAGTATAGATACCTTATCAAAGGTTAGAATTAAGATAATGGCCAATTTCTCTGTTGTATTAAGGAATTCTTTGGATAGATGACATCATTTTATGAGTTCACAGCCATGGATTTCACTGATAAAAGCATAAAATGTCCCTATATCTCTTTACAAATACTTTCAAATGTATGATTGATAGTTAACCTCATGCTTGTTTGCAGCTGGTTGATTTGGAATCGAACCTCCGTGACTGCATTCAGACCTTTGGCCTCCACTGACCGCTGCAGTGGCATTCGTCACTTATTGTGTCTTCTGTAATATTTCAGAGCTGAGGCCAAACTTGGCTGTCCACGATTACTTCTTTTAAAGCATACTGAGGCCTTAACAGTTAAGACGTAGAGGGGGTTGTACTAACAGGTAACACTTTTAAGTTGAGCTTTTCTATAGAGTTTCACATCATTCGATAAATGGAGTAACATGTTGTAATGCAGTTGTAAGCTGATACATACACGTGTGATAATTCAATAGGAAATGTAATTGATTCAAGTATCATTGTGCAATAGTGAAGACTTTAAATCTCAGCTTATCTGGTTATAACTGCATTGTACTGTGTTATGAGCTGTTTGATACATGTTGAACAATGGTTTATGAGCATTTTATCCACCTTCTGAACGGGAATCTCCATGGTGGCTTCCTGAAATGTTTCTTTTCATACGTCAAAGTGGCTTTTGAAATGACGATTGCAGCTGCAGCCCGATGCAAACGAGAGGAAAAATGATTTCCCAGTACTGAAATAAATCTGCTTCTTTTTCTCTGTATAGCATGATGACCAGTGAAATGTAAAAGAACCCAGTTCAGCCAGTGAGGCGTCGGCCAGAGCCCCAGTGGCCCGGCCCGGGGCTCTGGGTCTGGTGCTGATGTGGTCAGAACAGGTTTCTTCCATTACAGAAACCCACAGCAGCAGCGGGGCAGGCAGGGGAGGGGGGTGAAGCCAAATGTAAAGTAAAAACTAAAAAGCCTTAAATGAATAAAAGTGGTGCAATTTTGTAACAGCATTCTGTGATGTAGCCTCATTTGGAATAGGATAAGGAGAAATATCTCTTTCCATTGTGGTGGGTTACACAGTGTGAAGAGAATTAAACCTTTACGCCAGGATCTATAAACGCACATCTAGAGATATTCATACGAATAACCGGCTTTAGGAATTTATCTTAACTTAAACATGACTAAATATGATATATCATAACAAAAAACTCTGGTTTAGGAAAAATGTATTGTCATTACGAAGGTTTACTTTTAACAGCATACCATTTACCATTTTAATTTACTAAGTGAAACTAATTCTAAAATCTTTTGTATGTAAACAGCGCCTTATTGAAAAAAACAAAAACAACAAAAAGAAATTCAGGCGGACTTGTATCTGCGTCACTTTGAGTCGGTTTGCTGCAAACGCGCCTGCGCAGTACAACTAGCTGCCATGGCAACGTGAGCTCCACGGAGCCGCTTGTTAGTGTGTGTTATGCTAACAATATCTGGTTTGGTGCGTTCATTTTTTAAATGTTTTTTTTTTTTTAAAACGTCGTCGACTCGTTGAATAATGTCTGAGGGACTTCCGCTGGTGATTGGTCAGCGGGTACCTGCGCCATGACCGTCCGCTTTAAGGTAGGGGACAGCAACAGGTGTTAGCATTTGTAGAGTTAGCCAAACAAATTGATTTCAGTGATTTTAGCCACCGAGCTAATTAGTTGCTAATGTATACAAATTGGAAGTGAATGCATTATCTGCAGGTTTCGTGATAGTAAACCTGTTTGGGACCGTTTTATCACGGAGTACTCTGTACGAGATAACAAAGAGAGGATACATTTGGATTAAATCTTATTTAATTAGTTAATCTCATTTACGGGTTCTGCCACCTGTTCTGCATTAGTTAGGTCTGATGTGCTAATCACGCAGACGTGATACTAAATATGGCTGATATGAATTAAAGCCTGACTAATTTCAAATGCAGATGAATTTCCTGACTGAATAATGACTTTTGCTGTACGGGTGCAGTTAAACTGTCCAGATAATAACCAGGCTCATGAGTTCACCAGGGTCAGTGTGGTAAATGTGACCTCAGAAACCTGGAGAAGGCCTGCCCAGTATTAGGGTGATGTCATCTAATGTATCATTACCAACACTGAAATGTTCAGAATGCTAATGTAGCTAAATATAAGAATATTCAAAGCCTAACATTGAAGCATGATTAAATCAGAGCAGATGGCAGCAGAGTTCAGGACACAGAGCACATCAGTAGAAAAACAACACCATGACTTATTATTATTATTATTATTATTATTATTATTATTGTCAACTTTTCTCTCTGCTTTGTCTGACATTTAAAGCATGTTTCGGCTGTTTTACATGAATTCCCACAAAGCCCCCAAAAACCAGGTTAATTAAACAAGATGGCTATGATTATCATTATTGGTAAGGTTATTCAAGCCGAGTTACCATGGATATGTTGAAGATGTTTGATAGTTCAGGCCCCTGGTGCTGATAATCCGGACATCTTGTGTCGTGGCTAAGTTTCCGTTATTTATCCTGACAGCTTTATTCACACACATCTTCAAAATGATGCACTTCAGATATTGACTGTTGGTGTAACATGAGTTAAAGTATTGGGAAAAGAACAAGACAAAACATTTAGATGAATTTCCACCAGAGGAAATGCAGAGAAATGCTTATATCTAAAGGAATATCCTGGATTTTGAATCGTATCATGTAATGTTGCCTTTGTTTCAGAGTGAGTACCAGAAAAGCTACGGCGTGTCCCGCTCCAGAAGTGTCTCCCCTCAGCGCAGCGCTCCATTGGCCGGCCTTCGCTCTGACCACATGGGTGAGAGCTCCCCTCCACACACAGCCCAGAGGGAGACAAACGGCTCTCTGAAGGGTTGGCGTGTCCCTGTTTTGGGGTCTGCAGGCATCAGCAGAGAGCCGTGTCTGCAGCGCCGGAGGCGGCCCGGTTCTGTGGGGGCTGCTCAGCCCAGCAGCTCCCTGCTCTTCCCTCCAGATGTGCAGCAGCAGGCTGTGGCCCACCTGAGGGCGCCACCTGCTGGTGAGAAGGTCGACAGAGAAGTGGATTCAGGTTCAGAAGTCATAAAGCGTTCAAAGACTGACGATCTTTGTGTGAACTCCTGAAATCATCACGCTTTCAACATCCACCTTTTCCAGACTTTTAGTTGACTTGGTCTATAGGATGCACTACTAGGGATGTGATCCAGCTTTTTGCACTTCTGATCCGATCCCGGCCTATCAGAGCATGTGTTAAAGTTTAAAGTTATTTATCTACTTACTTAGTTGTCAGACTCATGTTGAACAGGGATTTACTCTGGTAACAACTTAATGGTTAGGACACAGACCTGTTGGTTACAGATGCTAATGCTAATGCTAATGTGGGATCGGCATTTTCTCCTGCCGGCCGATACACATTTTTTGCAAATATCGGCGGCCGATCCGATCCAGATATCAGATCGGGACCAGCCTATGCACCACCAGGCAATAAAGACCCAAACTTAAATCATCCCACTTGTTTCTTGTTGTTGCTACAGTCACAACATTCACCTGCTCTGTTCCAGCTTCCAGAAACCGCTCAGCCCACAGAACCAAGCCTCCGGTGGACCCCCAACAGCCCACTGCAGCACCAGCTACCAGCAGACCTCCAGGGGAACCTGAGACCCCGACTGGCCCCCGGCCGGCTGCGGATGCTGGACCCCCACAAGAACCAGGTACAAACCGGCAGAGGGTTTCGGGACATCTGGGTCCCTTACGGTTCCTGCAAATGTACAGATTAGTGTCAGGTCTGGGTGGTTCTGCAGCTGTTGTGTCTCCGCAGTGAGGCCCCGCCCCTCCCAGCCAGAGAACCAATCACAGCCGCGCACGCCTGATGATGGTCAGCGTCAACCTCCAACCACCAAGGTGACCAGACTGAGACCCGAGTATCACACATGTCCGATTTCAGGTTTCCCAGGATTCACCCCTCTGTTTTCCAGGTTGACAACGTGCTGCTGTGGAAGGCCGGACTGAGGCCCGAGGGTCACAGGTCAGGAGGTCATAGGTCAGAGTACCACAGACAGTTTGGCTGGAAGAATCCTCTAAGCGCTGGATCGCCCCTGCTGACCGCAGAGCAGGTGAGACACACTCACCCCTCATCAGCCCGCGCAAAGAGCCTTAAACCGACACGTCAAACGGGAAAGAGCCAGAGGAGGGGGGGGGGGTCAGAGGACATAGTCTACCTCGTTTGTTTGTCCCAGGTTTTATGACTAAAGACTGTTGAGAAAGAAGTTATTTTAGAGTTTGAAGATAAAGCTGGAATTCTGTTAGGACATCAAACCAGTGTTAGCATGTAGAGCAACATGTCTGCAAAATGCCTGATGAAGTGTCAACTTTGGGCTTCTAGCATGGAGATAATTCTTACTGTTTAGGGTTTTTTGTTTTGTGTCAGAGGTTTCTTACAGAGTTTAAAATTCTTTCATATGTCCCTCATAATATTTGGAAGGGCTGCAAACCTTTGGTGTGTAATTTAGAAACACTGACCAAACATTTAGCATCAGAACTTCTTTCCATGTTGGTCAGAAACAGAACCAAGCCCCCCCCCCCCCTGCTAAGGTAGCAGGTGTTTCAGGCTGAACTGTGACAGAATTCTATAGTGCTCTTTGGGTATTAAACAGCTTCCTCCCTCCGTCCAAAAACCTCCATGGTGGCTTAGTGGATGACTAAATTGCCTGTAGAAGTGAATGTGAGTGCGTGGTTGTGTGTTTTTGTGTGTTCTCTGTGATGGAGTGCTGACTCCATTGTGACATTCAGATTCTTCTGTGCTTTTCTTCATTATGTGCTCTGGGGTCTCTTCCTGAAAATGGATCTGTAATAGTGACACTGTTCTTCTCTTACTCGCTTCTTATGGTGCTTAACTTATTTTTTATGTGTGATGGTACAGTATAACAAATCTGTATCATCTGGAGCTGGAGGCAGGAGGTGTGTAGTACAGGACAGAGGATCAGCCGTGTGTTTATTGTGCATCATAAATGTTATTGTTCTCCAGATGGATTCAGACCTCTATAACTCTAATGCTAATAATTTTTATATTTACTTGTGTGTTCATGAGTGACTGACAACCACATTAGTCGGTACTGGACGGATGGTTTGTTCCACTCTGTTTGGGAAAGACTCTTTGCCTTGAATGTGCCACGTTTGACTAAAACTAATCGCTTTGAAATGGTCAGAAATTATTTGTGCAACCTTCCGGAAATGGGCAACAAAAGACTTAGCCTGGATTTTTCAAGGTGGCCTGTCTAACCTGCTCTGACCTCTTTTCAGAAGCATTCATTTAGAGATGTGAAGTTGTAAATTAACACAATGTTGTTGCCGGGGTCAGACGAGGAGGAATGGGAGGTTCAGGACATGTGACATCTGTACAAGAAGCCTGGATTGACTCGTATTTGAACAGATATTTCAGGGCCAATCCCGTGTTCTAAATTTCAAAATCTGTGCGTGTAATTTGTTGTTTCAGTCCGTTTTGCTGCAACAGAAAGAGCATCGAGTGTTCAGCCAGGAGGCGGAGGCAGTTCAGGTTATGGAGAGGCTTCACAGGTGAGGAGGGGCGGCAGGATGAGGGAGGACAGGGTCTGGAGCAGGAGACGGGGTCCCCCCCCCC